GGACAGAAAATTCTTCGAATGTTTGATTTCAGGTTTGTGAAAAGAGGGCTATGCAGCTTGGAAGTCGAGGCTGTTCTCAGCGACAGCCGCTGTGTCGTTGTCGAAATGATACAACCTAGCTTCAAAAATACTATCATTCTCCAATAGTTCAAATTCGACCCGATCAATGACTTCCATACTGGTAGGTTTCTGACGAGCATTGCTCGTGAATTTTACCACAATGAGATTAAGTACTATGGCTGTCCCAATAATTGTGTCAAGTTTCTCGTGGTTGGTGTCACAGCAAAGAGGTTGAGGTTTGCAGCGTAAGTTAGTAGACGTCGACTTCAATCAAGAAGAGATTTGTTCTGCCGAGCTTTTTATGTGGCAAAGAATATGAACTCATGGTATTCGGCATCTCGAGTGAGTATCGACACAAAGGTAGGACCTACTTCAAAGGAATTCGCATAATATGAAGCAGATGTAGCAAAAGCAGTCAGCAATCTCAAACATCGATACTCATCGTCAGAGTCGACAACTTGGCCTGTGATTCTGGAAGGAGTAAGAGCTCATCTGCCCCTGAGTTGGGATTCAAATTCAAGAATGTTCTCAGCAAGCATATCCAACAAATCATATCCCCTCTCATCTCACTTCATTCCAATTTGTGTATTCTGAACAACAAACCCATGAGATATAGTCATCTAGGTATGATGATAGCAATGGTGTGTACATTCTATGGAGGATCAAGAAGCTCTAGGATTCAGTACATTCAACCGCAGGGGCTGGTGCCTCAACTTGTACCATGAATCCAGAGAAATGAATGTAATTCAAACACAAGGAGGATCTAATTTGATAGCTGTGCCGCCCTCCAATTCAATCAGCCTGTAACAACGATGACTTCATCACAATCACATAATTGAACTGGTACCAGCTAATATTGTCCACTCGAGATATATAAACTTCTTTTGAACTTCAGAAATCTGTAACTTTGCAAATTTTCACAAATAACACCCCATGTAGATATCCTTCCATATGACAGCAACTACAAGACGATCACAAAATATTCCACTTGAAACGATGAAAAGTTCTCTGGCCTACTTTGTTGATAATTCCTTCCTCGATCTTCAGAAGTTTCAAAATCAACATCATAATAGATAGATAAACCCTTTCCGTGAAAGAAAAATGTGTAACATCTGGATTCATTCAATATATTGATGTTTTAGATTGCCAGCCTTCAGTTAAAATAGGGAGCAAACCCGCCAAAAATCGGTAAAAACCACTCAAGAAGCGGGGTTATACAGGCCACAAACGCGAAGTTCGCGTCGAAATTACAGCACCGCGACACCCCTACCCGCCCTCACATTCACACCCACAACGCCAGGATGTTGAGCTCCCCATCCTCATTTCACACGGCTTTGGACTCCCCATCGTCGCCGTCTCCATCCTCTATGGCAGATAGCACAGATGAACGTGGGAATTCTTTAGAGAATCCAAAATATTGCCAAGCAAACAAAATCTCTAGAGAAATTGAGGACCATGTCAAAATATACTTTGATGAGCGGATGTGTATGGATTCATATTTTGACTACATTGGTTGCTGAGCGACTACTTACATTTTAAATAGATAACCACGCCCTCATCTTACTTTCCGATGTCCTTACCTCTGGCATTTCACATTCAACTACAACCTCGAAAGCTGCCTGTATACCGAACCCCAAGTTTCTACAAATAGCCAGCACATTGCTAGTACATCCCACCACTACAACTCGAGCCCAGCATGATCATGTTGAAGTAGCCTCCAGATCCATGACTCTTCTACAAAACACCCTTACTGAAATTGGACCTAAGAGTGCCAATCTCCAAAAAGCATTTTGTTTTGAATCTGGAAGACACACCCGTCGAGTTTATGGCGACGGAGAGAGTGATTCTAACAGTGATGACGACGATGATATAAAAGGGATCATATCTCAAAATGGACTGTGGAGATGCGCCAAGGACTTTTGGCACATAGTGGGCTGGTCATTTAACTGCAGTGTTAGGTATCCCAAGAGGTGGAGGTATTGGAAGCTTCTTTTGGAGTATCTATTAGATGTGCTGGATGCGGACTGGCACGAACGAGAGACTATGGATGAAGCGGCATTCAACATTCGAGTCAATCAGAACCAAGGGAATGAGGCACTGTCTCCCGGTCATGAGATGCTTCAAGATTCGTTACTGGTACAATATCTAGGCGTCTCTAGTCAAAGTCGCAATGGAACTGCTGTTAGGCGGATTGTAAAGGCAGCCTTTGCGGACGGATCCGCGCAATCCATGAAAGCATATCCAGAAGTTTTTGAGAATGAAACCAAAGAAATCAAGAAAGACGAATCACAAAAACGAAAATGGGAGGACAGCAAAGATGTTAAGGAAATGGGCTTTGGTGATTTCGATGAAGAGGAAGAGGGAGATCTAGCCTCGGATACATCAGAGGGTCAAGAGGAAGTAGCCTCAAAGCAGGGCAAGAAAGGCGGTCCAACATATTCTTCTAATATTGGAGACCCAGACACTATTCGCTTGCGTCAACGAATCATAACTCTGGTAAGAAATTTCCTCGTGTCTCCAAAATCCCATACTAAATTTCGCAGCTATCACGCGTTTCCGCGACCCTTCCGCAAAAGTCCATGCCTCTACGCGATGTTTACGATCTCCTCGCAGAGTTCACCGTAGCACTTCCTATCGCATCGTTCTCACTTCTCCTCAATATCTCGCATACATCACCTTTCCCTTCGGTAGTGCTTGTCTCGCTTATACAACTATTATGCTCGCGATATCTTCCAAAATCTGCAGTTCGTCCTCAAGATGTTGAGGATTTCAAGAACGACACACTCACGCAACGAATCCTCGAGATCTGTTATCTTCCGCATTGTCCTATGACCTCATCCATAGAGGATAATGCCAAATATTCAATTTTGGTGGAAAATCTATTCCGCCTATTCCTAACGGATTGTGAAGGTCTTCATACACCAGATTTAGATGACGCGATTGGAAGAGGAATCAGCGCGAGAGAGAAGAAGTGCAAGACGGATGGTAGACGGAAAGCAGATGCAATGAAGAAGGAGGAGGAAATTGCAAAGGTCTTTCTAGATGCAAGCTCAAGAAGACTAAAAAGTTTAGTGCATTGGGTAGAAGAGTCTAGTGCCTAGTTGGATTATTAGCACCGCATTGGAGTTAATCACGTTTGGACTGAATGGGTTCACGGCAGCAAGGAGTTTACTGGTCATTGGAGTTTTCAACGATACCATTTGCTATCATGTTACGGAGGAAAAGCGTTTGTCAATTTTACCGGTTACTCAGATACCGTGGCTCGTAAAAATCATAGCAAGAATATGGCACTTCGAGCAACACGATATCTCAATAGATACTCGTAGAGGAACAGGAACATACAGGGCGAGCGAAATTGCCTTCTACTTCGTGCATTTGGAATTGTAATTACTATAATAATATTAATACATTATCTTCGAGCTGCTGGCATATCATTCGGATCCCAGGCCTGGGGTTGCCACTCTTCACTTGGTCCTCCTCTTGCCTTCTTCCATGGATCATCCTTATATTTCTTCTCCTCTCTCGGCTGTGTCGCCGTATCATACTGTATTTCACCACTCGCCGGCTTTTCCGTAGTAACCACTTTCTCCTTCTCCATCTCCCCAACCTCACTCGCAACAGCATTTGCCACGCCCTTCCCATCCCCCCTCGGATCCGTTCCCGTATACGCCCCTCCATCTCTGACTTGCGTGGCCGGCAACGCCTGCTGCCTCGTCGCTGGCTGATCCAGAAAACTCGCTTTCGCATTCCACCTCTCATCTGCCTGTCTAGCTAGTACCTTTAACCGTTCCTGTCTAGCTAAATCACCCATCAATTCTTCTATACTAGGTGCATCTTCCCGTGTATGCCGCAGCCACTGATGCCATTGAGGACTTATTTTCACATCTGAATATTGAATCGAGGATGGTGTTTGGACTATTCTGCGCATGCGACCTGCGGTTATAGCGTCGCGGAATTCCCAGAAGGAATTATTTTGGAGATCGAGACCTGGAGTGCGTTGGTTAGCTTCATGAAGGGAGAGAGGAGTGGCGAGTTGAGAGGGGAGAGGAAAGGGTACGAACCGACGAAGAAACGTTTGCGCCAGGGAAGACGCAGGGCTTTCCACTGGTACCAGGCTTTACGAATTGGCGATAGTGGTTTGGTAGACATTTTTGTTGTAGTATCTTTTTGGGGGTTGTAATAAAATGTATACTGAGCTTTCTTAAGATTCCAGGTACTTTGAACTTCTTCAGCCTTATGAGAAACAGAGATCCGAAGTTTAACCACTACCAATCAACGGTCACCCAAATCAAATATTGCATGGAGCTCTTGCACATTGATACAGCTACAGGTTGGATCACTTTTACTTATAAAGATGTGAAGTCCAAGGTCCAATGAAGACCTATCTCTCTGTCTATCAGACTATACATCTAAGTCAAACTACCTTCCTACTGGGCACCGACGTAGGTACTGTTAAAATTGACAGATGTGGGAGTGTGGCTCGGGCGATATGGATCAATAGCGGCGGCAGTTAAATTTATCTTATCAGGGAGGGCACCACCCATCTTATCTGATCATTTTTACTTTATACAAGTCCATGGTTCTAGACTAGACTTAACTTCCTTTACTCTTCACAACGTTCCTATCCGCCACTCCACACATACATTTCATTTTCGTATATTCTGGTACAAGATGACGAAGCTTCAGGTCTGTTATGCTGGATGATATTTATATTTTTACTCGTTTTCACCACAATTAATTGGTAGCTTACGCAACGAGAATCGCACCTGAAAAGGCTTCGCTCTCGCAATTGGTCATCTTCACAACACCTCGAGCATAAGATTCTTCTGTTAATTGATCTCAAGGCAGATGAAGACGACAGCGCAATCGGAGCTCGTGTCGTTCTTTTCAGGTTGCCAATCTTTCGTATTGGATTATTAAGATACCATGCATTCCGCATCTCAACGTTTAGCCCAAGATACGATGTCTCTGTCGCGGGCCCTGCAATTAGCATTTTGTGTCTCGCACCTGGAACTCGCTATCCACTCTGGTGATTAATGGGGAGCTTATCCAAGCAAGTTCCAATGTATGTACATCGAATGCCGGAAATACTCAGATGTTTCAAACTCTTCGGAGGAACTGTTCCAACTTTCATGGCCGAGAACTCTTTCACGAACTGATAAATCCGACTCCGCTTCAGTGGAGTTTTACACCTGCATGTCGACATTTACGATCAACACTGATGTGTCTGAATTGGGATTATCAATCCAACCTCCGACAATACCGCGATTCCCGATTCTTCTATCAATAGAACGGAGATAACTCTTGATATCTTGGTCGGAAGAATTCTGTTGTTGTAGCTCAATGGAAGATTTCGGAAGAAACTATGTCGTTGAGATGCTGTCAGAAATGGGGGGTCCAGACTCAAAGAAAAAAAATTATGTGGAAACGCCGCGGAATTTATGTCGCAGGAAGTAGCGAGGAAGAATCCAGAACATTACTGTATCAATATATGGAACCGACAAACGATCTCTATCTGGAAATTAAATCCGAATCCTTCGCGTAAGAAGGTCAGTTTCGATGTGGCTTGCTCAAGGCTCACAGCCATGGCTGGCATCATGCATGCCTACCATGCGATGAGAAGAACGATCTCACTGTGTACACTGTCTCTGCATACCCGCATGGAGAAGTAATCCGGTAATCTCCTCGTCGGTTCCGCGTTTAGGCGCCGTAAGACTTTTCCGGATGCTTGGGAATTGACCTTTGGGTCCAAATGTACAGAATAGGGAAATGGAGGAGTGATCTATTGAGAAAGGGAATGCAGGAGTGCGAGTTGAAATGAGTACTCGACTGACTGAGCTTGATTTTTATTCCAGTTCAAGACAGTGGGGGTTGCAAAATCCTAATGGACATCTTTCAGATGTAATCGTAAGGAGATAAGTATTCATCCCATAATATGGAATCACTCATATTTGGAATCTTCGCCCTGCAAACCGGCGGCGTGGTACATATGTACCAGTGTTACATTATGCACTGCGTGCGTTTTCGAAGATTCTTTTCGTGCAAGAGAATGATTTTCTTCATGCTGTGTAGCCAGCCCATTTTCACGGCGATCCCGGCCAGATCCATAATTGGAAATAATCACGTTACCTCCGCGTAGGAAATCATTTGCATTTCACAATGTTGTGCTGAGCCGTAATTATGCGTCACTACTGTCTAAGACGGATCGGGGCATAATCATTCGAATGTAAACATAATATAATATTTCTGGACCCTGCAGACGGAAGTTTTTCGCTCACCCCGAAGATCAAGGGTTCTTCAAGGCTTAGTGGACAACAAACACAGTGGCTGTGCAACGTGCATTGAGCCTCCCCCCATAAAAAAAAGTCTCTTGAAAGCTAGACCAGCATTGATCTTTTCTAGATTGATTAATGATCTCCAACACGCGAGTGAGAGACTGGCATGGTTGCGGGGAAAGTGAAGCTGTCATTCTCTTATTTGTCCATTTGCTATCTCTCGCTATCTCCTGCCAGTGAAATTTTCTCGGGTCAGCTTTTCATGGATGTTGTGTTTGATGCCCACGTTGTTTTTTCAGTTTGCACGAGGTGCCTGCAGTAGTATGAAAGAGTCCCTGCTTGTAAAATTTTGCTTATGGAGTAGAATGTCTCTTGTCGAAGTTTGCTGAGCCGCATTCAACGACAGATAACAGCGAAGGAGGAGTCACTCATTCTCTCCTCTGCCTAGTAATGATATTGGGTTACGAACTCCAGCTTGGCACATTAAATCATTGTCGGTAGGCCATTTGTTCCGGCTTAGCAATCCCCTAAAGCCTCTTCCCCGAGGATTTGCGGACTTAAGCCGACGACATGTCACATATCCCGTGTGCATTTTCGAAGCAACCCGGCCAACTCCACTCGGTTATCGTGAGTGCCGTACCATATCTTGATCGGCCGTTTCCCGATATGGCATCATGAAAAGATTAGCTTCAAGGCCATATGAGTCAGCTAGGTTGAGCAAAGCTGACGTGGTGCATGACTCCTTGGTGAGGGTCGGGTTACTCAAGATGAGTCCTATTTTGACTAGCATTGAGTAAAGGTACTAGGATAGCGTTGGCATATTCAAGAATTGTGACAGATGTACTGTATTTGCGGGGAAACTTCGAGTGACAAGTTGCATTCTTTGGTAGTCGGAGTTGCGGCGGGAAGGAGTCACAAGATGAGCCTCTTGAATAAGGTGAATAAATGTATTACGACTAGTTTGGAAGATTATTCATTGCGAGCCATTACAATAGACCTAGTTTTGGTCGGTAGATAGATAACTTTTCACATGGGTCAACATCAAATGACCAAGTTTATAGGTACCTAGTAGCCATCAAGAAGGACAGATTGTAAAATGTTCTGTCAATAGAACCAAAAGGGGAAAACTAGGTCTTCCATAGGCCCCTCAGCCACTATTTTCATTAGCAAGTACTTTAGAAAGAGACTACTGTACAGTTAGGCAGCGGCTTCTTCATTGAGAGGGTTCATTTATCGTATTCTTGGACACGCTGATGATTGGATATTGGCAATGGTAAAATTTAAAAAAAATGGATAAGCTGCCATTCATCGAAATTTGCATGAGATTTTCATCGAGAATCGTAAAATCCCATTCCGCGTAACAAGGGTAAACATGTAGTGGCCATGGAAGAGATGATCCCAAAGGAGTAGCGGGATCCCCACTTAGAAAATGTAACCTTGAAATTTACAAGGTAAACCCGAGAAGATGGGAGTGCCGGTATCACTAGTGTCGTCAATGGGTACCGACCTTTCTTTGGGGTCGCATCTCTTGGTGTAACATCAGTACGAGTACGGATCTCGTACCACTGGTCGGGACTCTCCTAAAATCAAAGAATGGTACAAATGTGGCTGAACAATTGGACTTTCGTTTATCTGTCTTAAAGCATCCAAAATGGAATGAGAGGATCTGGATAGGATTGACGGTATTCCCGACGAAGATTGACAAACGGTTGTGCAAATCTCGATAGTCAGCACCTTATTTGACGAATGGGATCTTTAGCCCATGAGTGAGATAACGCTTACAAGGAATAGGCTCGCAAATACGAAGGGATAATTCCAAAGATTTGATAAATCTAGATCTACAGAGTAATGACACACTCCTCCTGTGGCTGTGCTTTGGAGAAATGGAATATCCGAGAACGGCGTAGGCAATTCCGTTGTTGTAAGTGGTTCTTTGTTTGAGAGTATCATGCATTTGTGACCCTAGGGGATGCTTGGTGAGATTTGAACAAGCTTACCAATCCATTTTTGTGTTATACAAGCGTTTCTCATTACACAACGGTCGCAATGGCTGTGAAGCGTGGACAAAACATCCCGTCGCTTCTCCGGGTTTCTCTCGTTTTCGCAAGGAAATGCATTATGGAGAAAAGTCAAGTGGGCAGTGTGGCTCGTACAATCTTCTGTGGCTTGTTACGAAGCATCATCATGATGAGAAGCCTTCTTCCGTGGAAAGCCGAGCTAGCGATGACGCGCTAGGACGATCCCGCTGGAAATCTAAGGGTCTTTTAGTGTCGATGTATTCAATTGTAAACGGACGTACTAAATAATATCTACCACCAAAGCGCGTAGCTAGGTATATCCCTTCAAGCATGTATATCGAGGAAGAAGTTGCACACGATCATTTCTTCTGTTGGCCGTTAAGACTTTGGAATGAATATCATTGGCCTATATTTTTTGGTCTGTAAAGAAAGATTTCACTATTTTGTTTTGGGAATCTGTGAACTTTCCTGCTAACGATCCTTGCTCATTGTGCGTCATTGTGGCTGCATGGACCCTTACATGTCGAGTGGGAAAGGAAAAGGAAAAAAAGAGGAAAAAGGCGTCTGCCACATCTTTTTGCCAAACCCTTGGTCGGTCGCGGTTGTAACCCTACCTAGCACCCTTACTTTCCAAAAAAACTCTTTTGACTGTGCATGGTGTGCTGATGCTTAATTTGTAAATCCTTGCGTAAGGGTCAGGAAGGGACCGATGGAAATCGTCACTCCATACATGCGAGTTCAAATGTTTGGCCGGATAGATATCCTTCTATCCTATATATCTATCCCCTCTAACCGATATCCATATTATACATACACATATCACACATATCACACATACATATCATACACACTACCATCAACTTGTAGATCTTCACTGTTCTTGTTCTTGGTTACTTTTTAGTCTCTCAATAGAATTCAATCATCATATCAGTCATCCAACTCCAGCTAATACTTTATCTATAAGTCTGGTGTCGGGTCTCACTAGTGTCATCCATCACCTTTTCTCCATTCCATCTCCAAAACACACCACTGTACAAAAACCAGACCACTTCCCTCGTCAGATATAATAAATATCAAATACCTGTCAACAAGAGAGAAAAAGAAAGAACAACTGAGAATCAATATTTGATCTGCTGACCAGATGATCTGATTATACATCAAATAAAATCCAATTATTCCATATCATTCCAAAAGATACTACCTGATAGCTAAACCATCGAGGGACAAAAAAAAGGTACCTGCTCATTCTTCCCTTTCTCCATATTGATTAATACTTTCCCGAGTACGAGTCACAGAAGGCCGAGGTCGAAATGTTTTCCATATATAAACATTCGCCACCTTGATAAAGTCTAAAACTTCTTACTAAAACCCTTTCACAGATCCTCAAAGCTATATCACTATGTTAGCTCAGAACTCAGCATCGAGACGTCAGTTACCACATCATCCACAACAACCTTCTTATAATCAGCACGGTTCCATTTTTAATCCTTCTCTACCACATCAAATACTTCAACACCCTCAAACTCCACTACAACCACAACCACAATCACAATCACAATCACAACCTCAATCACACTCTCAATCTGTGACCCCTTCAACACTCACACCACACTCAGCTTTTACCACAAATAATCTTTCAAATAATAATACCTTTGATTTTGAAGGCGATCAAATTCTATTTGATATCCAACAACCAATATCATTTACGTCGAATCGATTTCAACAACAAACTCCATTACGAACTGCCGAATATTCCTCGGATAGAATATTTCAATTACCATCTCACATGCAACAACCTGTTCAATCGAATAGTTTGATGTCTAACGGACAATTGACTCCTACTTCGACTTCCAGACACAATCACCATCGAGAGTCTTCACTGTCGTCATTTGGATCTCCAGCCGCTCCAGCTTCACCTTACGCACCATCCACTTTGAATCCTCAGGTAGCTGGCGAGTCATATCATGATTTTCAGGACTTTCATCCAACAGCATCAAAAACCTTGACACCAGCACATACACCACTACAAGAGAATTTCTTCTCGTCTCAGTACACACATTCAAACCAATACCAAAATCAGAACAACCTTCCCTTCACAATGCTTAATGACGGCTTACCAAGATTGACGGGTAACGAGCTGATGTCGGCACCAGAGATTTATCACAGTCAAGGGTCGAGTAGGCCATCGCTAACTACAGGGGCGAGCAATGACTCACCCTCGACGCCACCGGCCTATGAGGATGAAAGACAACAGTTCGGTATGACTTCTAGTGTGGATTCCTGGTTGAACGAATACTTACTTTCATCCCATTTCAAAGCTTCTCACAGAACTTCTCCGCATCAAATGCCCAAACTCGATCGCACGATGACGGATGCTTATAATGATGAGCTATTCAACCCCAACATATCCATGATTTCCGCTCCTTCCTCAACTCCTGCCCCAACTCAAACAACCTCGAATCTAAGTAATGACATATTCACGCAAAGGTTACAAGCAGCAAACAATGGACATCTGAGTACTCAACGAGAAGCCTCAGTCTTGTCTCCTCGCGAACGTTCACCATTTCAACCAGGTTCACCATTAGCTCCCACTCCGGGAGGATATAATGCCCACAATATGGGATTTGGAACTGCAAAGCACATGCGAGAACAACAA